GTCCCCACTCATTTTGTCTTATTTTTATTTCTTTTTCTTCATTTATCTCAAAAGCAAGACTGTAAAAATCATATAAATTCATGTAAAATCACATAATTACCTAAAAATTCACATTCATCAACTGAAAACCACTTTTCACACTTTAACACAAATATAAGTCTATTTATCATGAGTTAAGGCTAAAACTATATTATTTACTAATTATTAACTCATGATAATGAAGACTTATCACACCCCCAACTTAAATCATTGCTAGTCCCTTAGCAATGGAATTACGAAAATAAAAATTTACAAATCTCAAACATCATATTTTAATACAAAAAAAATAAAAATACAATTAGAAATGATGCACCTTTAGACACTTTGGACTCTTATATCAAGTCTTTAAGAATGATCTCAAGCACTTAAATGTTTAAGCACTCCTTGGAATAACAATCTAGACTTCACTTCTTTTATTCACATCTTTATCACTTCTTCACTCATAGACATATTTACAAGATGTTCCAATTATCAATAATCATTCAAGAATAATATTGATCCTACATTTTCCTTTTTCCATGGCTTGATTTTTGAAGTTTGCACTATATTTCTTCCTTCTTTTATAGTGGATAAGTATCTTTTCCTGTAGACAAATTTCGACAATGAGAATGATGTCTCACACCCTCCATGTGTACTCTTAATTTTCAGGGCTTTCACTTTATCCACTTATTTTGCAGCAAGTGTTTTTCTATACACGATTTTTGACAATGAGAATGATGTCTCACACCCTCCATGTGTACTCTTCATTTCTAGATTTTTCACATTGCTCTCTCTCTTTTTTTTTTCGAAATAAGTGATTTCTCCTCACAAGTCCTATAGATCAAGATGCAAAAATCTCCATTAAACTCAAATGAACAATCAAATTTTCACATCAAGTAAATACTATCCATCAAGATCATGAAGTGAAAATCTGTAAAATCAAATCCATGTTATCTATCATGTATCCAAGGAGTATTCCAACATTTCATGCTACTAGATCATTCTTTTGACTCAATAATAATCTTCCTAGTATCTTTTGGTATCAATTAATCTAATTGATTTAATTTTTCATGCATGCAATATGATGTAAGAAATTTTTAAATTAGATAGTTCTGACAGTTCTGATTTCTGTTTTCAGTTCTATTTTTAGCAACAATAAATTTGTCAAAAATAAATCAAAACTATCCGTTTTATAGCTCTAATTTTGAATTTCAGTAATATATGTCTAAGGGATTGAAATGTGAGAAAAGGGTCTCTAGAATTTCAAATTTCGGGCTGTTTTTGGTCTGCTATTTTTGACAGTCTGTTGTTCCTGACAAAAATCCAGAAAATAGATGTTGCAGTTTTTTCAAATTTTATTTTATTTTTTATTTTTTCAGTTGCTGTTCTAATGCAAACACATGTTCTTAATCGTCCTATAGCATAAATTAATAATGAATACTTCACCCCCCAACTTAAAAATGACATTGTCCTCAATGACACAGAAAACTCGAAACAAAATATGCAGAAAATATAATTTTCAAGTGAAGCATGCATATATGCAAAGTTAAGCATTAAAAATGTTGTCATAAATGATAAAGCTCAGAAAGACATCACCTCAACCTCGTTTTTAATTTTCCACTTCATCTTACACTCCTCCTCCTGCACTTTTTCGAAAAAACAAATACAGAAATAAGTACTGCGAAATTATAAGAAAAATAGAGCTTAAAAAAAAATTCGAATAGAATGAAATAAAAACCATGGGTTGCCTCCCATGCAGTGCTGCATTTAATGTCTCCAGCTGGACTCCTTGATCTTACTCTTGAATTTCTTTTAATAATAAAATTTCTTTTTCTGCAAGGCGTTCATGTTCTATGTAATGTTTAAGCCGTTGTCCATTTATCTTAAAGTTATGATCACTTTTAGGATCTTTAATCGTTACAGCCCCATGATCATATGTCTCTTCCACCACATAAGGCCCTTTCCATTTTGATTTTAATTTTCCTGGGAATAATTTCAGCCTAGAATCATATAACCACACTTTTTGTCCAACATTAATTTTTTTTCTACTAATGTATTTATCATGAAAAGTTTTAGTTTTTTCTTTATATATTCTATGATTTTCATAAGCTTCATTCCTCAACTCCTCTAGTTCATGTAGCTAAAAAATTCTATGTCCACCAGCTGATTTTTCATCCATACATAAATTTTTTATAGCCCATAATGCTTTATGCTCTATTTCCACAAGAAGATGACATGGCATTCCAAAAATCAGACGAAATGAGGACATACCTATAGGATTTTTATAAGCTATTCAATAAGCCCATAATGCATCTTGTAATTTCGTGGGCCAATCTTTCCTATCTGGTTTAACTATTTTTTTCGAAATTCTCTGAATTTCCCTATTTGCTACTTCAGCTTGCCCATTTGTTTGGGGATGATATGGAGTGGCTACTCTATGGTGTACTCCATTCTTTTTCAACAGTTCCCTGAAATGTTTATTTATAAAATGTGTTCCTCCATCACTAATAATCACTCTAAGACATCCAAATCTCGAAAAAATATTTTCTTGCACAAATTTCATCACGATTTTATGATCATTAGTTCTAGTAGGAATAGCTTCCACCCACTTCGACACATAATCAACAACAAGCAAAATATATTCATATTTTTCAGCTGATGGGAAGGGACCCATGAAATCTATTCCCCATACATCAAAAATTTTGACTACTAACATGTTACTCATGGGCATTTCATCTTTTTTACTCATGTTACCTATAGATTAGCATGAAATACATGTTCTACTAAATTCTATAGAATCTCTAATGATTGTAGGCCAATAAAAACCACACTGAAAAATTTTTGCAGCTATTTTTCGTCCAGAGAAATGTCCTCCACAGTTAGATGAATGGCACATGTTAATAATGTTATGATATTCTTCTTCAAGAACACATCTCCTTAAAATTTGATCATTGCCCAAGTAATATAAATCAGGATCATGCCAAAAATAATTTCTAATCTTAGAAAAGAAATGATGTTTTCTATTCTTATCCCACTGGTCTGGAGTTTTTCTAGAAACCAGAAAATTAACAATATGTGCATACCATGGTGATGGTTGATGTTGAGCTGCCATCAATTGTTCATCTGGAAATGCATCTTATAAAGGTGCTGCATTTATTCCTGTATCACTTAATCTAGAAAGATGGTCAGCAACAACATTCTCGAAACCTTTTTTATCTTTTATTTCTAAGTCAAATTCCTGCAACAATAAAATCTATCTTAATAAATGTGGCTTCGCATCTTTCTTATTTAACAGATATTTAAATGCTGCATGATTAGTATAAATAATAATTTTAGCTCCCAAAATATATGATCTAAACCTTTCTAACGAAAATACTACAGCTAACAACTCTTTTTCAGTCGTGGTATAATTTAATTGAGCATCGGATATAGTTTTACTAGCATATGAAATTACTATGGTTTTGACTCTTTTATTTGTCCTAGAACGGCCCCCACTGCATAATTTGATGCATCACACATTATTTCAAAGGGAAAGGACCAATCAGGAGCTTGTAAAATGAGTGCCTCAGTAAGTAATCTTTTTATTTCAGAAAAAGACTCAAAACATTTCTCATCAAAATTATAAGGCACATCTTTAGATAATAGCATGGTGAGAGGTTTAGAAATTTTTGAAAAATCTTGAATAAATTTTCTGTAATAACCTGCATGACCTAAGAAAGATCTAATCTGTTTTACTGAATTTGGAGGTTTCATTTTAGATATAATATCAATTTTTGCTCTATCCACCTCTAAACCCCTTTTACTCACAATATGACCCAACACAACTCCCTCTTTAACCATAAAATGTGATTTCTCCCAACTCAAAACGAATTTTTTCTCTATGCATTTCTCAAGTACATGCTGTAAATGATTTAAGCATTCATCAAATGATTCACCAAAAACAAAAAAATCGTCCATAAAAATTTCCATGCACTTTTCAATCATATCAGAAAAAATAGACAGCATATATCTTTGAAATGTGGCTGGAGCATTACACAGACCAAAGGCATGCATTTAAAAGCAAAAGTACTAAATGGACAAGTGAAAGTTGTTTTTTCTTGATCTAAAGGGTTTATATAAATTTGATTATAACCAGAGTATCCATCTAGAAAACAAAAAAAGTTTTTTCCAGCTAATTTTTCTAGAATTTGATTAGTAAATGGTAGGGGAAAATGATCTTTTCTAGTAACTGAATTTAATTTTCTATAATCAATGCAAACCCTCCAACCAGTAGTTAATCTTGTTTGTATTTCATCCCCATTTTTGTTTTTTATAACCGAGATCCCTGATTTTTTTGGCACTACTTGTGTAGGACTAACCCATTTGCTATCTGAAATAGGATAAATAATATCAGCAGCCAGCCACTTTAAAATTTCTTTTTTTACAATTTCGATCATGTTAGGATTTAATCTTCATTGTGGTTCCCTGCTAGTTCTAGCCCCCTCCTCTAGATATATACTATGCATGCATACACTCATATCAATGCCCCTTAGATCGTCCATTTTCCAGCCCATAGCCTTCTTATTTTTTCGAAGTACATCTAATAATTCTTCTTCCTGTTCATCACTCAAATCAGCTGCAATAATAATAAGAAATGAATTATTTTCCTCCAAAAACATATATTTTAAACTAGAGGGAAGAGGTTTCAACTCTAAATTCAGATGATCTTTCTCTTTCTTTTCTCCCAAATTTATATTCTCTATTTCCTCTAATTCTTCCAGCACACAGTCATCAATAACATCTGGAGCATCAAAATCGTCTAGAAGATCTATGGTATGACAATCATATACTTATGATTTCTTAAGATCATTTGGTACCTCAAAAATTTTAATTTCTACTAATTGATCTCCACATGAAATTTTCGTAATACCTGTGGGAAAATCAATATTCATCTTTGTTGTATGCAAAAATGGTCTCCCTAGGATGATTGGTGTATCATAAAACTATCCATTAAAATCCATTTCCAGCACTACAAAATCAGCTAGAAATTTACACCCTTTAACTGTTACTATCATATTTTCTAAAATACCTTTAGAATGTTTTATGGATCTATCAGCAAATTGTAAGGTAACAGTAGAAGGTTTAAGATCAGAAATATTAAATTTCTCACAAATACTTGCAAGTAATAAATTAATACTAGCACCGGTGCCAAGTAATGCATTCTGAAAAATGGATCCACCAATATCACACGAAATTAAAGGGACACCTGTATCTCTCAATTTATATGGTAATTGATTTAATAATAATGCACTAGCATGCATAGATAATTTTTCTACTCTAGGTGCCCTTTTTGGTGTACACATTTCTTTCAAAACTCTAGCATATTCAGGAATATGTTCAATGGTAGTGAGTAAAGGAAGACTAATTTGCACATCTTGTAAAATTTTCTTTATTTCTTCATTGTGTTCCTTTTTCTTTCTTTGTCTAGGCTCTAGAGCTTTAGGAAATGGAATGGTTGTCCTCTCTTTCGAAATTTCCTTGGTAGGATCTATAAAATCCTCTTCTACTCCTATTTGATTTTGTTTTGGGTTGTCCACGTTTTCTTTTTCTTCTAATGTTTGGGGATAAGGATCAAGTAAGATCTTATCACTCCTTAATGCATTCACTGTCCTAACATTTTCATTTCGTGGGTTTTTTCCTAGATTCATGCTACTAGACTCCCCTTGCTAAAATCCTATTGTTGGGCGGTTCCCTGGATTTTCTATGGGCTGACTAGGTAGCTGTCCCTCTTCTCTCTTATTCCCAAGGGCCTCTATAATTTATTTCTGGTGCTGCATCATTTGATTCATAGTTTGTTGCATCATTTGGCTCATTTGCTGCATCATTTCCATAGTATCAGGTTGGGTTTGAGAGGGCTGATTTTTTTGAAATCTATTTTCTTGTTTTGGATGAAATTCAGAGTTTGAATTGGGTCTAAGTGCTTCTGGATTTTGAATATTATTTGGGTCTCTCCATGAAAAATTATTCCTCCAATTAGGATTATAAGAATTTGAAAAAGGTTCCGTATTTCTATTAAAATCGTGAGCTACTTGCACTTGTTCTTGCTTACGGTGAAATGATTGATCTAAATTATAACATTGAAATTATGAATAATCATTCTCACCATACATAGGACATGTACTATTTGAATTAAATTGAGGGTTAAGAGGTTTTCTAATATTGTCAATAAGTAAATCAAGTTTTTTTAATCTTTGATTAATCTGATTAACCTCATTTCTAAGTTTAGAATCATCATCATGATGCAATTCATAAATTCCTCTCTTCTTATCCTTGTCATATAATTCAAAAGAGGCTTGATCTCTAGAATTTTCACTTAAATTCTCATAAAGACTGTAAATCTCATCATGGGTTTTCTCCATAAAAGCTCCTCCACATATAGAATCAACTATATTTCTATGTTGTTCTAATAATCCATCATAAAAAATTCTATTGAGCTGCCACTTGGGTATAGCATGATGAGGACACTTTCTAAGTAAATCTTTGAATGTTTCCCATGTCTCATGTAAAGTTTCTCCTGATCTTTGAGAAAAACTCCATATATGTTTTCTCATATTTTGGATTTTTCCTAAGGGATAAAATTTTTGAAGAAAGGCCTGTTCTATGTCTTTCTAGCTAGTTAATTCTCTATCTAATGTGGATAGCCAATGGCTAGCTTTGTCCCTAAGTGTATGAGGAAATAATTTCATCTTAATAATTTCCGGTGTAACTTGAGGGAGATTAACTAAATCACAGACCATATGAAATTTTTCTAAGTGCTGATGAGGCTCGTTGATAAGTCTTCATTATCACGAGTTAATAATAAGTAAATAATATAGTTTTAGCCTTAACTCGTGATAAATAGACTTATATTTGTGTTAAAGTGTGAAAAGTGGTTTTCAGTTGATTAATGTAATTTTTGGGTAATTATGTGATTTTATACGAATTTATATGATTTTTACAGTCTTACTTTTGAGATAAATGAAGAAAAAGAAATAAAACTAAAATATTGCAAAATGGGGGAGACCCGCCGGCCAGCCGGGCCCGCAAGCGGGTCGGAAGCTCAGTCGGGGAGTAGCCGCGAGTAGGGGCTCGAGCGGCTTGGACCGATAGGGGCACGTGTGCGCCACTCCCCTTCCACGTCACCGGTGGCCAGCCGGCTGTGGGGCAAGGAGTGGTCGTACACGCGAGAGAAGGGACTTTGCTTAAAAAGCTAACATTACTATATATTCGCCCGAAAAATCGGCGCACAACCAATGTGGGACTAAACCCGCGTCACACCTTCCTCTGAAGGGGCGGACAACCGGCGCGGGTTCGAATCCTCCTAGAGTCAAAATTCATATATTTTTATCTGATTATCACGACTTTCCTACAGATCGCCGGTGAAGGATTAAGCAACCAGAATCGCTAGATCATCGGTGAAAATCTCGTCAACGCGATTCGCGGAGTATTGCTACTAAAATTGCTGAACGATTCACGATAAAAGGATCGCGAATCCATCGAGTAAATCATCTCTGATTGATCGACGAACAAGCCATCGTCGGGAAGAGGACGATCCGCTGGGAGACGAGTCGCCACCTCCTGAGAGCGTATCAGATGCGATGAAGAGCCTCCTCTTGCTGCGCGGACCTGAGGATGAAGCTCCCTGACACGCGCCCCACCTCCATCTAGCTCCTCTCCGTCGGGTGACAGCCACCGGAGAGCCGCAAAGTCGCCGTTTTTCCGCTCCGCCGGGTGACAGCCGTCGGAGACGATTCGACGACCCACTTCATTGATCTCTAGACTTCGCGAGAAGATCTAGAGATTGCCCACGTCGTCTTTGTCCAAGGAGAGCCTTCGAGGCTGTGGACACTGCATGACGATCCTCCTGAACGCTCAGGATTCCGGTGCATCGCCGACGCATCGCCGTCGCAACGCCGGAACTCTGTTTTCCTGCTTTCAATTTACTTTACGCTTCATTTAGTGATAATTTTTGTGTTTTTAAGTTACCAAAATATACTTTGTTCAATTACGATTCTTCCGGCTTTTACAGATCTTAATTTGATTAATTAAATCGTCTGTAATCGCTTACGCAAGAATCACCAGGCGGAACTCTGTTTCCGCCCGATTCGCGTTGGCCGGGCGCTGACGTCATCTTGACGTCCGCGTCCTTATTACCCTTTTTTTTTCGTGAATTTTAAATATATTTCCTTTTTATTTCCTAGTATAAAATTCATAGAAAATCGTATTCATTGAGAAAAATTCTGAATAATTACCAGATATTATATTACATCCTTGTGATCGACCTGAAAAATTACCGCTATTTTTGGAAGTTTTATTAAATTATAATTGATATATTTATTTAGAAATACTTCTAAATATCTGAAAATTCGTATTTTCTAGTTTTATAAATTTTATATTTGCGTGATTTAATATACAGCGACTGAGTCACGTCACTCGTCTAAAGGCAATCCATGAAAATTAGGGAGCATTTGAAAAATTCCTAGATTTATTTCGAATTTAATAGTGGGTGCTAATAGGACTCTAATATTTGATGCTCTTTGAAATGAATTAGGGATATAATGATTTTTCATGGCCATAGGATTGTTCTCAGTTTGACCTGTACTTCCTTCAGGATCCATCAAAATTAATTTTTCTTTCAGATTTTTAGTCTTGAATGAAATAATGAAAGGATTTTCTAGCGTTAGATACAAGGATCTTCTACCATGCATAAAAAAAATCAAGAAATTCGAGGGAAAATTTTAGTAATTGTTACCCTCCTTCAGTATGCTCCAGTGCTTGCCTTGTTTCTTTTCATTCCCTTTTTCTAAAAAAAATTTGGCAAGAAGAAAAAAAAATAAGAGTTAATTTTTTTTTGTGTACTCTAAGAGAAAAACAGAAAAATACTAAATATTATGCAATACATCCCCGGCAACGGCGCCAAAATTTGATGTGACTTAGTCGTTGTATATTAAATCACGCAAATATAAAATTTATAAAACTAGAAAATACGAATTTTCGGATATTTAGAAGTATTTCTGAACAAATATATCAATTATATTTCAATAAAACTTCCAAACATAGCGATAATTTTCTAGGTCAATCACAGGGATGTAATATAATATCTGATAATTATTCAGAATTTTCCTCAGAGAATACTATTTTATATGAATTTTATACTAAGAAATAAAAAGAAAATATATTTAAAATTCACGAAAAAAGGAAATAAGGATGCAGACGTCAGGATGACGTCAGCACTTGGCGAATGCAAATTGGGCAGAAATAGAGTTCCGCCTGGCGATTCTTACGTAAGTGATTACAGACGATTTAATTAATCAAATTAAGATCTGTAAAAGCCAGAAGAATCGTAATAGAATAAAGTATATTTTAGTAAATTAAAATCAGAAAAGTTATCACTAAATGAAGCGTAAAGTAAGTTGAAAGCAAGAAAATAGAGTTCCAACGTTGCGTCGGCGATGCACTGGAATCCTGAGCGTTCGGGAGGATCATCGTGCAGTGTCCACAGCCTCGAAGGCTCTCCTTGGACAAGGACGACGTGGGCAATCTCTAGATCTTCTCGCGAAGTCTAGAGATTAATGAAATGGGTCGTCGAATCGTCTCCGGCGGCTGTCACCCGGCGGAGCAGAAAAACGGCGACTTCGCGGCTCTCCGGCGGCTGTCACCCGACGGAGAGGAGTTGGATGGAGGTGGGCCGCGCATCAGGGAGCTTCATCCTCAGGTCCGCGCAGCAAGAGGAGGCTCTTTATCGCATCTGGTATGCTCTTAGGAGGTGGCGACTCGTCTCCCGGCGGATCGTCCTCTTCCTGACGACGGCTTGTTCGTCGATCAATCGGAGATGATTTACTCGATGGATTCACGATCCTTTTATCACGAATCGTTCAACAATTTTAGTAGTAATGCTCCGTGAATCGCGTTGACGAGATTTTTACCGATGATCTAGTGATTCTCATTGTTTAATCCTTCACCGGCGATCTGCAGGAAAGTCGTGATAATCAGATAAAAATATATGACTTTTGACTCTAGAAGGACTCGAACCCGCACCAGTCGCCCGCCTCTTCTGAAGAAGGTGTGACGCAGGTTTAGTCCCACATCGGTTGTGCGGTGATTTTTTGGGCGAATATATAGTAATGTTAGCTTTCTAAGCAAAGTCCCTTCTCTCGCGTGTACAACCACTCCTTGCTCCACAGCCGGCTGGCCACCGGTGACGTGGAAGGGGAGTGGCGCACACGCATACCCCTATCGGTCCAAGCCGCTCGAGCCCCTGCTTGCGGCTACTCTCCGACTGAGCTTCCGACCTACTTGCAGGCCCGGCTGGCCGGCGGGTCCCCCTCATTTTGTCTTATTTTTATTTTTTATTTCTTTTTCTTCATTTATCTCAAAAGCAAGACTATAAAAATCATATAAATTCATGTAAAATCACATAATTACCTAAAAATTCATATTAATCAACTGCAAACTATTTTTCACACTTTAACAAGTCAACATGAAAATACAAAGAAAGATAAGGGTGAGCTCGAGCTTATCGTCGTCGCAGAGGTGGAATGTCATCGTCCCGAAGGGCTAGGCTGTGTAGCAAAAGCCAAGCTCCTTCATCTTCGCGCGTCGATCGGGCTGAACTCGGACTACCGGTGTCTCTTGAGCTAATGGAGATGGGTCCCACTCATCATCAAAAAGAGCTTTTGAGGGTGTAGACACTGCACGAAGATCCTCCCAAACGCTCACGATTCTAGTACATCGCCAACGCATCGTTGTTGCGAGGCCGTAACTCTGTTTTCCTACTTTCAACTTAATTTCCGCTTCATTTAGTGATAATTTATGTGATTTAAATTTATCAAGATATACTTCATTTAATTACGATTCTTCTCGCTTTTATAAATTTTAATTTCATCAATTAAATTGTCTATAATTGCTTACATAAGAATCACCAAGTAGAACTTTGTTTTCGCTCAATTTGTGTTCGCCAGGTGCTGACGCCATCCTAAGGTCCGCACCCTTATTTCTCTTCTTTTGTGAATTTTAAATATATTTTATTTTCATTTCCTAGTATAAAATTTATAGAAAATAATATTCTTTGAGGAAAATTTTGGATAATTACCTAATATTATATTATATCTTTATGACCGACCTAGAAAATTATCACTATTTTTGGGAGTTTTATTGAATTATAATTGATATATTTGTTCAGAAATACTTTTAAATATCCAAAAAATTATATAATATAGTTTTATAAATTTTAAATTTACATGATTTACTATACAACAACTAAGTTACATCAAGTATCTTCTCCTTTCCAAGCAAAGAAGGAGAATTCCGAAGAGAGTTATCTATTAGTTCAAGGTGTTAATGTGAATATAGTGCAATGAATTAGAGATGATATATTACTTCTCAATAAAGTCAATATAAAGTTGCCAACTCAATTCAAAGAAAGATTGTCTCATAGTTACTCAATTCCTCCATAAGTATCTTGTAACATCAAGCTGGGGATTTGGTGACTATAGAAGCACTAAGATAAAACAAGTACATCTTCACCACTATGTCTTTGGTAGAAATATTAATTTATTCAATTGAGTACAGATATAATACATTCTACTAAGTCTAACATAGAGTTGTGAATCTAGAAGAGACTAGCATGTTAATCTAGAGTCATAAATTTAAAGGTAATTTGAGTTGTCTTAGTCATATTTCTAACTAACCTAGCCTTAGTAGGTTATAATCTTGTGTGGTCAATAAAAACAATAAAACATTTGGTTACTTAAGTCTCTTGATGAGGTTATTGAAACTTTAGTGGATGTAGATGGCCTTAGTACATCCTTCACACTATGTTGTTGAAGTATTAAATCTACTTATGATGTTCCTTAAGTCTTTAAATTCAATATAAGTGACTGATAATGTTTTATTTTTATATAGTAGTTGGGATAAAATCAAAGTATATGTTGCATGAATTAACGTAAAATGTGAATTATTTATGTTAAAAAAATACTAGTATTGATTTGAGAGTGGTGTGATAAATTTATATTTAATTTACTAATTTTTATGATTTATGAGAAATGATGTATTTCTGATTTTTAATGCATCAGCTAACATGATTATCAAAGGTTTATAATCTTGAGAATTTTTTTAAGAGTGATAGTAAATTACTTATGAAGTTAAAATTACAAAATGGATTCTTTTGAACTTTTTGAAGAATTTATGAATACATTTTAAAGCCCTTTTAAACTAATTTAGAAATCATCAAAATAATGAGAAGAAAATTCAGCGATTCATGGCCACATAACCAGGAGGACATGCCAAGAATTTATTAGCCAAGTCAGCATTTTTGGTCTATGTCAACAAGTTGTGCCACATCATTAATGTACATGTCATCTTCGATGCTCTATTTTTGGGTGGTGAAATAGATAGAGATAATTACAGACTCCTTGATGATTGTTGAGAGATTATTGTATGAAAATGAGAAGCAAGCTCTAGGAAAAAACACGTTCTATATGATGAAAGAAGAAGATTGGCATAATTTTTAAGCTTTTTAGGTAGAGTTCTCTCTAGGTGGCAGGTGGAGACAAGCATAGAGAGACCTTGGACACTTACGAATTCAATTCCTTTTTTCATTGTATGTACTTTCTTTCTTTCTTAATTCATCATTTGGGTAATAGTCCAACAATGACATTAAGGCCTTTTTATCTATTTATTTACCAATTTTAGAAAATTTCACATCCATTTTCAATACTTTGTTTTAAGATGACAGATGAATAGAGCAACATATGTTGTTTGCGAATTAGATTTTTGTTTCGATTTTTTTTTTTTTTTATCTTATCTTATTTCATCATTTGAGTGACATGTGGGGCATTTTATCCCACATCTTTATCGTGGCAGTACTTTGGTCCTAGGTGACAACCAAGGAGGAGTTCCTGCATTCATCTTTTTTTTTTAGTTTTTTCTTAAGCTTTTAATGATCCTAACTAAATTTAACTTTGTTAAGATCATTCACAGAGATTTGTTTTCATAGATTGGCTGGGTTTTATGGGGATTCAAATCGATAACATTTTCCTATTTTTCACCAGTAGAGTTGCTCTGCATGTAGATGATTTTAGATTTTACTTTTTTTCAGTAAATGTTTTCATGATTTTAGTTTCTCTCATGAAATTTTACTTAGTTAATATCATTTAGAGCAATTTATTTCAAAAAGTTACTTTTTTTTTTGTTAGAATTCGGCCTAAATCTATTCCCATTTCACTACTAATGAGGTTTCTCTATCCTTAGTCATATTTTCTCTCTCTTCCCTATTTTTCTCGATTTTAAGAGTATTTTCTGTTTATTTTTATAATTTTATTTTATTTTTATTCGAAATATTTTACAATTCTTGAGTCATTCATTAATTCTGAACAAGAGAACACTTCAAAATTTGAAGACAGAGCTCAAGCAATTTAGAAGATTTAAAGTACGGAGAAAGGTTATTTAAATTTATTTTAATTTCAATAATTGTTTTACAAAAAAACTTCAAATTGAGATTGACGATCATTCAAGTGGACAACTTGAATTCAAGAAAAGTTACTTTTAATCATTACTTTGAATTCAGTTTATAAAACTTAATTTGACCATTTTATTTACAATCACCAAAGTAATATTAGTGATTAAATTTAAGTAACCTTGAGGACATTATTTTAGCAAGGCAATTAGTTTTCATTGACCAAGCAAGAAAAGCCTAGTGTGTGAAGAGAATTGAGAAAAATATTAGGAAACTATTTGTGATCATGAAAACTCTTGTTCATCTCTCTATTCGTTTCTCATAGTTAAGCTTGCTTAATTGACGAGCCAAGAACAACTGCCTAAAGAGAGAGAAAGAGGCGGGCCGTTATGAAGATGACCGTTGGCGGGAAGTACGCCTTGGCGCTCCTTTGAATCTTAGCCCTGTATATACCCCATTCCGTCCAGTCATCTCTCTCATTCTCTCCCGCTCTTTCTCTGTCTACCGCTCCCTCGCTCTCGCTCGCTCGCTCTCTCTCCCTCTCTGGTGACTCCTTCTTGGTGCTGCGATCTCTTGCGGTTGATTCCTCCCGGAGGTCGCTCTGGATTGGCCTGCGAATCTGCTCCGTCGGCGGCCATCTTTCGTTTCGGTGACGGCCTTTGAGCGCGGGGAAGTCCCTTATCCCGTGCATCTTTGTTCTTGCTTCTCACGTCTCGTTAGTATGTAGATTTGCTTCTGCGACTGGTCTTCTTTCTTGGTTGGTTTTGTGCGGATTATTCTCGTCGACGGGAAAGTCTATTTTCCTGTTTTTCTTGATTTTTCCACATCTCCTTTGTCAATAGATCTCCAGGTCTGCTGGCGTGTTTTTCCTGGTTTCTCGTTCTTCTATAGCTCGCGTCTGCGGGTGGTTTTCTTTCCCGGCTATCGTGACGATCTCTTTGCGCAGAGATTTCTCTCTTCCTCTGTTTTCTTACTTGCCTCCCCACCTCTCGTTGGTCTGCCGGTCTGCCGCGTCTGCGGCTGGTTTTCCTCTTGGCTTGTGGTTGCAACTATCTATCTGTGCAGGAATTTGTCCTTTTCTCTGCTGATTTCGCAGATCCTGGGACGCGGCGATGATGGCTTCCTGGGGATTGAAGAGCTGCAGCGAAGAGGAATCATCTTCGATAAGCCGCAGCTCCATTCAGGAGGCCCGTCAGTTAAGATAGTACTCATCGGCCATGTCTGGGGCGAACATCATCTGATTTGCCAACCGAGAGATCTTTCTCCTCTGCCTCGTGGAGTTGGTCTGGTGGTCGAAGGAGATCTCTTCGGCCGTGGAGGAGGAAGCAGCGGGCCGCGCCTGGAAGACCAGAATCCGAGTTCTTTCCGGGAGCAACCTCTCGGCCGGGAGTTTCCCGTGGGTCTGCCCCGGATGAGAGGCCATGGCCGCGTCTTTCTCCCTCTCCTTTCTTGTTTGTGTCAGCAGGTAGAAGGCCATGTCGAAGTCCATCGCGGATCTGTTGGGGATAAATCGATCGCCCTGCATGGCCGAGAAGATGAAGATCAGAGAACAACCAACTCCGCAACTAGGAACATGAGGGAAACTCAATCTGCAGAAACCATGAATCTGATGGCGCCGGAAATCTAAATCGGAACCCTAAATGGTTTAGAATAAAGAACTGGGTCAATCCGTCGAGCGCTTACGCTGTGCTTGGAAACGCCATGCTGCCTCGAGATGAGTCTTGACTGACGGGCCTCCTGAATGGAGCTGCGGCTTATCGAAGATGATTCCTCTTCGCTGCAGCTCTTCAATCCCCAGGAAGCCATCATCGCCGCGTCCCAGGATCTGCGAAATCAGCAGAGAAAAGGACAAATTCCTGCACAGATAGATAGTTGCAACCACAAGCCAAGAGGAAAACCAGCCGCAGACGCGGCAGACCGGCAGACCAACGAGAGGTGGGGAGGCAAGTAAGAAAACAGAGGAAGAGAGAAATCTCTGCGCAAAGAGATCGTCACGATAGCCGGGAAAGAAAACCACCCGCAGACGCGAGCTATAGAGGAACGAGAAACCAGGAAGAACACGCCAGCAGACCTGGAGATCTATTGACAAAGGAGATGTGGAAAAATCAAGAAAAACAGGAAAATAGACTTTCCCGTCGACGACATGAAATTGTCTTTATTTGTTAAGATCTACTTTTTCTGCTAAGATTAGTTAAATAGATAAAAAATCATTTTTCATCAAAAATATCTAAAACTGCTCGACATGTTCTCAACTATTTCGATTTTAAATTTATTACCCACAAGCCCCTTTGCGACACCTTCCAGTATCTAGAATGCCATTTCTATTTGATTCAAGCATTTAAAGTGAAGATCGGATACGAATAGATGAAAAATCCAAAGATGCCTTTCATGGTTTCTCATCAATTCATTCTTATTTGATATGCCTCTATTTGCAGGAAATTAGAAGGAAACCTTTTTGTTTAGTTTAGAGGTTACAAGAAAAACGTAAAAAGTTTACTATAAAATACTCAAGGTTCTCGTGGTCATTTCTCAATGGAAAATTTAACACAATATAATCTGTCAAAATCGTTGTTCCAAAACAATCTTTGTTATTTCTCATCATTCCATTTACTGCAACATTTTCCCAAACAAGCTAGTTAACCCATCTCATCCACTTCCTAAAACATGGAATAAATTTTACAGAAATAAAATTTAATTTAAGATTATTTAGCACTTTCCTAATTGATTTAGATAATTTTTATTAGATTAAATTCTTATTCTAACATCTATGAAAAAAAAATATTATAGTAAATCTATAGAAAGGAAAATTCACTCAAAGAGACCTCATATATATCTATTCAAATAAGCGTATTGTTCTATTAAGTGTCATGTTTGTTTTGTAAAGAGCCTTATTGATTTGATAAAGGCAGCATGAGGAACTAAAAGAGAGGTGAACATGACCTTTTTTATGATCAAACTAGTATTTTCCTCAAATTATTCTCAATAGTCTTCACACACTAGGCTTATAGTGGTTTGGTCAAGCGAAATTACTTTCCTCATATTATTCTCAATCCTTTATTTCCTTTGTCGGTTGAACTCCAATCTCCATATTCTACATTAAGGGCTGCCTAGTAGTTTTTAACATTAGTTACAAATCTCGCCATGTGTTGTCACATCAGTACCAAAATTGAAGCTTCATAAATTGTCAAATAATATTATAGCCTTCATCACAAATAGAAATATTTGATTTTTTATGTGGTGCTTATTCCATTGTGAATTTATTTCAAATATATTTCCAATGTATACACATTTCTATACTTGTGTATAGAACTAAAAAAACCCAAGTGCTACACACTTGCAGTACTAGCTCAAATCAACAATGTTTAAAAGATCGTTGAAATGAAACAATCTAAAAGTAAATAAATTGTTTAATTTTGCACGATCTGATAGAGAACTCTTTATAGAACTCTCCTTCCTTGCTTGGAAGGGGAAAGATAATTAATAGACTAAGATTTAAGGATCTTAGGGGATTAGATATGGAACAATTTGGAGCTTAACATAGAACAAGTTAGTTAACCTCTTGTGTTTCAATTCAATAAAGAGACCGAAAATTATAATCCTAGAGTTTACAATGGTTAATCAATCACCCATAATAAAAAACGTTTAAAGTAACCAATATGCTTGAATACACCAATAAGAGTTTTACAACGATCAGTTCCATCAACATCAACACGAAGAAAGAGGATTTTGTGGTGCGTTTTACTATGCTAAGTAGTCTAGGGAAATGGCGCACAAACCGGTGAATCAATGTGGAGCTTATCATAGTTAAGCTCGCTTAATTCATGAGCCAAGAACCCCTGCCTAAAGAGAGAGAAAGAGGCGGGCCGTTATGAAGATGACCGTTGGCGGGAAGTACGCCTTGGCGCGCCTTTGAATCTTGGCCGTATATATAGCCCATTCCGTCCAGTCATCTCTCTCATTCTCTCCCGCTCTTTCTCTGTCTACCGTTCCCTCGCTCTCGCTCGCTCGCTCTCTCTCCCTCTCTGGTGACTCCTTCTTGGTGCTGCGATCTCTTGCGGTTGATTCCTGCCGGAGGTCGCTCTGGATTGGCCTGCGAATCTGCTCCGTCTGCGGCCGTCTTTCGTTTCGGTGACGGCCTTTGAGCGCGGGGAAGTCCCTTATCCCGTGCATCTTTGTTCTTTCTTCTCGCGTCTCGTTAGTCTGTAGATTTGCTTCTGCGACTGGTCTTCTTTCTTGGTTGGTTTTGTGCGGATTATTCCCGTCGACGGGAAAGTCTATTTCTTGTTTTTCTTGATTTTTCCACATCTCCTCTGTCAATAGATCTCCAGGTCTGCTGGCGTGTTCTTCCTGGTTTCTCGTTCTTCTACAGCTGACGTCTGCGGGTGGTTTTCTTTCCCGGCTATCCTGACGATCTCTTTGCGCAGAGATTTCTCTCTTCCTCTGTTTTCTTACTTGCCTCCCACCTCTCGTTGGTCTGCCGGTCTGCCGCGTCTGCGGCTGGTTTTCCTCTTGCCTTGTGGTCCTTTTTTCTGCTGATTTCGCAGATCCTGGGACGCGGCGATGATGGCTTCCTGGGGATTGAAGAGCTGCAGCGAAGAGGAATCATCTTCGATAAGCCGCAGCTCCATTCAGGAGGCCCGTCAGTCAAGACTCATCTCGAGGCAGCATGGCGTTTCCAAGCACAGCGTAAGCCCTCGACGGATTGACCCAGTTCTTTATTCTAAACCATTTAGGGTTTCGATTTAGATTTCTGGTGCCACCAGATTCATGATTTCTGCAGATTACGTTTCCTTCGTATTCCTAATTGCGTAGTTAGTCGTTCTCTGAACGTCATCATCTCGGCGATTCAGGGCGATCGATTTATCCCCAACAGATCAGCAATGGACTTCGACATGGCCTTCTACCTGCTGACACAAACCAGGAAAGAGAAGGAGAAAGCCGCCGCCCTGGCCTCCCATCCGGGGCAGACCTACGGGAAACTCCTGGCCGAGAGGTTGCTCCCGAATAGAAATCGGATTCTGGCCTTCCAGGCGCGGCCCCCTGCTTCCTCCTCCACGGCCGAAGAGGTCTCCTTCGATCACCACCCCAAGTCCACGAAACAGACGAGAGAAATCTCCCGGTCGGCAGATCGGATGCTGTTAATCCCGGAAATGGCCGACGACTACTACCTTAACGCGCTGGACTGGGGGAGCAGGAACATCCTGTCTATCGCCCTCGGCCGCACCGTCCACCTGTGGAACGGCACCGACGGTTCCACGTTGGAGATGATGATGGCGGAGGACGACCTCGGAGCCGCAGCGAGCGTCTCCTGGGCTCCAGATGGCCGGTACCTTGCACTGGGTCTGAACGGCTCCGACGTCCAGCTGTGGGATACCGACTCCCAGCGACTGGTAAGTGGCCAGACCTCCTTCCCTCCCTGCCTAGAGGATTTCAGGGTTTCCTTTTCTGACGAGAATCGTCCTCTGTGTTTATCCGCCGCTGCAGCTGAGGACTCTGAGAGGTGTACACCGTTCTCGAGTCGGATCGCTCTCATGGAGCAATCACATTCTGACGACGGGAGGGAAGGATGGCAAGGTGGTGAACAACGACGTGAGAATCAGGTCTCACGTCGTCCACTCATACAGAGGCCACAGAGGAGAAGTCTGCGGGTTAAGGTGGTCTGGTTCCGGCCGGCGTCTGGCCAGCGGCGGCGACGACAACCTAGTCCACATCTGGGACCTGCGCAGGGCATCGACGGCCACTGCTCCGCGGACCTCCCAAGGTCCCTGGATCCACAGGTTCGACAAGCATGCCTCCGCCGTGAAGGCCCTCGCATGGTGCCCCTTCCAGAGCAACCTGCTGGCCTCCGGCGGCGGCGGCAACGACCGGTGTATCAAGCTCTGGAACACCGAGAACGGCACTTGCCTCGACTCGGTGGACACGGGGTCGCAGGTCTGCTCCCTGCTGTGGAGCAAGAAGGAGAAGGAGCTGCTAAGCTCCCATGGGTTCGGTCAGAACCAGCTGACTTTGTGGAAGTACCCCTCTTTTAGGAAGATTATCGACCTCACCGGCCACAGTTCCCGAGTCTTGTGCACGGCCGTGGTATGGACCAAAATCCCCCCAGATCCTGTCGGTTTATTCCCAGCTGTTGTCTATAATGCTGGTATGACGGCGAGATATCGGCTTCGCAGAGCCCGGACGGGTGCACGGTGGCGTCGGTGTCGGGTGACGAGACGCTGAGGTTCTGGAACGTCTTTGGATCGCCGGAGACGACGAGGAGGTCGCCTCCGAAGCCCCCTCCGGACCTAGAGCCATTCTCCAGCTTCAGCCGCATCAGGTAATGTACAGGGGACAACAAGGGTGGGCAGACGGGGCGGGGAAGAGCCCGGTTCTCCCCTTCTAGCCCGCCGCCCGCCCGAGTTTTCTTCTTCTTTCTCTTGTATGCACGATGATGGATTTCTCTGACATTTTTCTCGAATCGTTTTCCGCTTCTGCGGTCGTCGATCCGTCGGATATTTACTCCGAGTTTTCTTCGATCGGCCGAGTTTTCTTGAGTTGCTTTCCTTTCCTGGTCATAGATGCAGCTGCCGGTTTTCTTCTTCTTCCTCCTCGTCGGCGGAGGAACATGTCTGCATATTTTCTCTGTTTGGTTAAATGCGTATCGCCGGCGGTCTTCCGTTGTCACCAGAAGTTGGGTGCCCCGAAGAATTCTAGGAAGTTGATGATCGGAGCGGGAATCTTCGTCGACCAAGGCCTGACGGCAGGAGCATGATGATGCACGGCGGCGTGGACACCGGCGATGACTATGTACAGGCTCCGACGCCGACAACGGTGACGACGTCCACCATGGACCGGAACCTTCCTGTCTTCAAGGTCTACCCCTCTCTCTCTCTCTCTCTCTCTCTCTCTCTGTGTCTCTTCGCCTGTTCATGCTTCTCTGCTCAGCCTCGGCGCCAACGGTGATCAGCAGTTCCGGCTGATTGCTTCGCTTCGCACAGTGGGAGAAAAGCAGGAGGAAAATATGTGGAACAATTGGACTGTAGAGCTCAGCCTGGAGCGATTTTCTTCAGATAATAAAAAAAGTACTAATAAACATTTTCTTACGACTTTGGATGAGACGAGTGATTTGGCGTGCTTGGGAAATTTTGGAATAAATTTAATGATAAGAAATAAAAACATGGTAGTGGAATAATGATTTAGACCGGATTATATTGGGTTAAATTCTCCATTGAGAAATAACGATGAAAACCTAAAGTATTGATAAAAAAAATTATTCTTTTCATTTGACCTCTAAGTTAAAGAAAACGTTTCCTACCAAGTTCCTTAGAAAGAGAGTTATATACATTCTATATTTGGCGAGAAACCATGAAAAGCATCTCCTAGTTTTTCCTTATAAGCACCCAATCTTTACCTTAAATTCTTGAATTAAATGAAAATGGTCTTATAGATATTGAAATATGGTTCAACTGGGGCTTGAGGGTAATAAAATTCAAAACGAAGGTAACCAAGAAAATCTCGAATTGTTTTAGATATTACAGATTAAAAATGATATTTTCTCAGTTTATTTAAGCTAAAAATAAGGAGTTGATGCTATAGAGGAAACTACCATCATAAAACCATTTAGTTTGTTACTGAATATGCATAAACCTTTTTTAAAAAAAATCCTATAAATGAAAAATAAGGGGAATCAATTTTAAATAAATAAAACTTAACTAAAAAATTAGTTATATCTTCATAATTTATCTTGATAATTTTTTAAATGATTATTTTCGAAAAACTTTATTTGAAATAAAATTGTTACACCAAATTCAGAGAAAGGAAAATTAACCCAAGGAGACATTATATCCATTAAAATAAGTTTACGAGTCTATTAAGAGTCATGATACTTTTTTAAAGAGCCTTATTGATTCAATTAAGGTAGCATGAGAAACCAAAAGAGAGGTGGGCATGATTTTATATCCTGCATTTTTGGCTTCCTGATAGTTATTTTTTTACTATAGTTACAAATCTTGCCATGTGTTGTCATATTCTTTTCTAAACTTAAGCTTAATGAATTGTCCGACTAATATTGTAAACTTCATCACAAATTGAAATATTTTATTCTTTTGTGGTGCTCATTCCATTGTGAATCTATTTCAAATATGATTTCATGTGTCTATCTCTCATTCTTATGTGTCTATTATGTGTCTAGAATTATATTTCGTCTTGTCACTAAGTTTCCATTTCTCTCCATCACTCTCTCTTCCCCCCCACACCTCAGTCCCTTAATTTCTCCATGTCCTATTGCAAAGTGGATGAGATGGGTTAACTAGCCTTTTTGGGAAAATGTTACAATAAATGGAATGATGAGAAATAACAAATATTGTTTTGGAACAATGATTTTGACCGATTATATTGTGTTAAATTTTCCATTGAGAAATGACCACGAGAACCTTGAGTATGTTATAGTAATTTTTTTACGTTTTTCTTCTAACCTCTGAACTAAAAAAAAGGTTTCCTTCTAATTTCCTGCAAATAGAGGCGTATCAAATAAGAATGAATTGATGAGAAACCATGAAAAGCATCTTCGAATTTTTCATCTATTCATATCTAATCTTCACTTTAAATGCTTGAATTAAATAGAAATGGCATTCTAGATACTGGAAGGTGTCGCAAAGGGGCTTGTGGGTAATAAATTTAAAATGAAATAGTTGAGAACATGTCGAGCAGTTTTAGATATTTTTGATGAAAACTGATTTTTTATCGATTTAACTAATCTTAGCAGCAAAAGTAGTTCTTAACAAATAAAGACAATTTCATGAAAAATGTAATTTTTAATTTCATACTCTTAATTTTTTATTTTAAACTCCAATAAATTAAATGAGGGGTGACATTTTCAACTTTACCTAAATAAAACATAAGGGGAATAATGTTTAAAGAAATAAATTTTAATTCAAAAAATTATTATGTTATTAATGGTTATACGTATTTTTAACTGAATATATTGTTAAAATTTTAAAGAAAATGTTATATTAAATTTATAGAAAAGGAAAATTAACTCAAAGGGTCATTATTGTGGTCCTAATCATTTTGTTTATGGGATGAAAACGTCATATGTATAAGCCTACCTAATTTTTTTTTATGGGATGAAAAAGCCATATGGTTGATCATTAACCCACCTATCAAGTGGGTGGCCTGGGTTTGATCCCTATGTCCTCCTTAGGTTTGACCCAACAGAACACAAAGGGAACATAGTGGAAATGCTGAGAAAACCTCAAAAAAGTTCGAAAACAACATGAATCAATAAAAAAATATGAAAATTAAGAGAAATCCAAAAAATGGATAACTTAGTAAAATTTGATCTAGAATTTGAAATGAATCTCTTTTACTTATTAATGAATGATTATATATACCAAAAATACATATTTTGACAAGACTTGGAGTAAGAAATAGAAGTCAAAGATTGAAGATGGAAAATAAAATAAATAATTCAATCCAAAAGAAAATGAGAGACTTTTGAATTTGAATAAGAGAAAGGAGGCCCCTCACTTGAACTAAGGGATCTCACAAAGGGTTGGTTGGAGTGCAAGAGGCTAGAAGGTAGGAAACAAGCCTGGAGAGCAAGGGAAGGAGAAAGATATAGGGAACAATCTGGCTACCAATCAATGGTCTTTTTTGTATTTTTAATTGTTATTATTACCTTATTTCATATTTGTTCTATTCTTTGGGTGACATACATTGATCACAGAGACTCTTACTTCGATTTTGTTCTTCTCATTTTCTTGGGTTACATACAAAGAAAGTAGAGAGCTTTAATAATTGTTCTTAGTCTTCCTCATTTCGAATTTAGTTAAAATTCTACTTTTAATTACTTATAGTTTCTTTTTTCGTCATTGGGTGACGAACAAGGAAAGGAATTATTCAAAGTTATAAGGTTTAATCTAGATTTGATATTTTAATTAAAAAAATTCTTAGTTCTATAGGACTTTGCTGTGTGATGAAAAGTAGAGTGTAATTTTAGTTTTAAAAGTGTTTATGACCATGAATTTACTTATTTTAATTTATCCTTGATTGAAAACCAAGGATATTTCCTAAGCTTATTTACTTTCACTTTACTTTACGTCTTATTTTTAATTATTTCAAAACATTCTTCCCATATTAGAAGTTATTTTATTGATAACCACCTTTCTCATTTTTTCACATCATAATCTATAATCTATTTTCCACTATTTTTGATTTAATCATCTCATCATTAAACCCTTTCTCTTATTATCTAGAGCTGACATGAGAGTTAAATATCTGAAATTAATTGATAAAGAAGGCCAGTAACTAATGAAGATAAACTTTTATCATTTATCTCATCCTATTTTATTTATTATTTTCTTTTGAATTAATCTTTGTGTTAGAAAAATTAGAAATCCACAGTTGGTTATCTCGAGAGATGCAAACAAGTTCAAAGCCGGCATGGAAGATCATGAGGATAAGGAGGGTTGATGTAAGAGGGCCACCTCTTGTAGAACCAGAGAGCCACAGCTGCACCGTTAAAGAGACTTCTAAAACTAGCATCAGATAAGCATGCTTTAATCATCATTATGGGTGATAATTAAAGAAAAATATTTCTCATAAAATATCATTATATGCGTGATAACCCAGGATCTAACAAAGAGATCTCGAAGAGAAGAAGAAAATTAAATCGCATGCATGCCATGCATGCTATGCTAGACCATGATGTGGCTGGTGAATCATAATCTCTTGTGGCATGCAAGCACACAATTGAAAGCCTGGGAGGATGCAAAAATCTCATCTATGGTTGGGTGCAAAAACTAATTGGCACGTATTGAAGATGATTGATCCCATCTAAGGTAAGATCGCCGATAGAAATCTTGATGGTAGTGAGTGACATTGTCTTGGATCATTTCACAGCATACGATAAAGGGATTTTATTGATTCCATGAACATCAGCTATATTTCTCTCAACTAAAATTTTGAAAACCAGTAGAAACCCAGTTATTCTGTGATTCTGATCACTAGTGATTTTGTCCTTAAGAGATCATTGATTGAGTAGCAAAAAACTACAATAAATTTGAGAATAATAGATACAATAAATTTGTGATATTATGATCTATCCACTTTACATTCTTTTTTATTGTATCAAGTCAATCATGACAACCCAATGTGTCAACCCAACTCAATTTGTATTAACCCATTTGCTACAAAACTTGAAGAAAATATTAAAAAAATAAAAATTAAGAAAAACAATTTAAAACAAATTCACCTATCTTATTATAAACAACCCAGATTGAAACCAATTAGGTTCCACGTTAGTTCAACGCATTAAATAAGAATGAGAAATAGACACATAATTTTGAAGATGAACAAAAATAGATAAAATGGTAAAATGATAATCTCAAAATGATAGTATTTTATTGACTGATGTTCTAGAATCATTCTAGATAAAGATATGTCATAAACTAATGAAATACTCAGTGATAAAGTGGATCATATAGACCTTTACATAATAGAGCTTTTTGTTATAAACATCTATCACAAGTATAGCCTTGTGTACACATTGGAAATATATTTGAAATAGATTCACAATGGAATGAGCACCACAAAAGAATAAAATATTTCAATTTGTGATGAAGTTTACAATATTAGTCGGACAATTCATTAAGCTTAAGTTTAGAAAAGAATATGACAACACATGGCAAGATTTGTAACTATAGTAAAAAAATAACTATCAGGAAGCCAAAAATGCAGGGATATAAAATCATGCCCACCTCTCTTTTGGTTTCTCATGCTACCTTAATTGAATCAATAAGGCTCTTTAAAAAAGTATCATGACTCTTAATAGACTCGTAAACTTATTTTAATGGATATAATGTCTCCTTGGGTTAATTTTCCTTTCTCTAAATTTGGTGTAACAATTTTATTTCAAATAAAGTTTTTCGAAAATAATCATTTAAAAAATTATCAAGATAAATTATGAAGATATAACTAATTTTTTAGTTAAGTTTTATTTATTTAAAATTGATTCCCCTTATTTTTCATTTATAGGATTTTTTTTAAAAAAGGTTTATGCATATTCAGTAACA